TGTGTGTGTGTGTGTTTGTCTCTGTGTGTGTGTGTGTGTGTCAGGTCTGGACGTTGATGGTATCTACAGAGTCAGTGGAAACTTGGCTGTGATCCAGAAATTACGACATAAAGCTGATCATGGTAATAAATGTCAGTCTGTTGTTTCCCATGATGCATCGTGCTGACTTGTCTGAACATTAACCACTAGGAGGTGTCTTCATTTCTGATGATATGAGTTGTGTCTTTGTAAATAAATCACCAGTAATCAGTTATATTTCACTCATGTTTTTCCTTTGATTCATCCAAACTCCTCGTTGAAGATTATCCTGAAGTAGAAAGTTTGAGAGTGAGGAGTTGAATCCGTTTGTTCTCGTCTCTGCAGAGGAGCAGCTGGACCTGGATGACGGACTGTGGCAGGAGATCCACGTGATCACCGGAGCTCTGAAACTTTTCTTGAGAGAGCTTCCAGAGCCGCTGTTTCCCTTCAGCTGCTTCGACAAGTTCATCGCTGCCATCCGTCAGTACTGCATACACCACACATTATACACAATGCAAATGTGACACAAACCTTTAAACCACAGAAAATTGAGGCTATTTGTTAAAATCATTCACAGGGACACAAATTGTATTTTTCTTCCTCTGCACCGGACACACCTAGTGGCTGGCCAGAGGTATAACATTTTCCGGTTGTCCATCCATCCCTCTGAACAGGATGTCTCTCAAAGGTCAACGACCTCATAGATAGAAACTGCTCTGATTGGTTGAGACAAATAAGCACAAGGAGGTGATTCTAGTTTTTATATTTAAGTCAATAATGACTTGGGTTTGACACGTGGAGAATTGTAGAGTGGGAAGAAGATACAGTAGATGGCAGGAATGCACCTTGACATTGGTTGCCATCTGCCAATAAACTGAACAATGGAGAAGAAGAAGAAGACTTCAACATCTGTCCGTTTGTAGCAAACATTTAATTGATAGTTTTGTCAACGGACAAACATTTGGTCTTGAAACGCACGGAACAAGTTCTGCAGGTTCTTGAAGATTTATGACTCCTCACATCTCCAGACACAAACTCAGTTCAGAAGAAATGTAATTACATTTCGAGAGGGGCAGCCCTGTTCCTCCAAGTACATATGCAGAGAGCAACAGTCAGGTGTAGGGAGTCTTCTCAGGTTAAGAGCCTGATCAAAAAACAATAACTACAAAACCAAAAATTAGAGGGGTGGAGCCTATAGAGCAGCAGGAGGCGGGACATGATGTATAAATTGTTTACAGCTCGTCCACACCGGCGTCGGCCCTTATCACCAAAACATCTGGAATCTCCTCGTCTTTCAAAGTTGACGTCTTCTACATGTACGGGTCATCCTCTTCATCCTGAGAAATTTGTGTCCTTCCAGTTTCACGTCTGTCACCTCAGAGACACGCCCACTCGCTCACTGGGAAGGTTCCAAATGTTTTCACACATGGACTCACTCTGACATTTTACACATGTTTTACATTTGTTCTCACATACAGAACCTGCAGAACATGTGAGGAACATTTCAGGAACATGTCAGTTCCTGTGTGAAAACATCTCATTGACAAAAAAGTGTTTTCAGCTTCGTTCACTGAGACCACATCATGAGTAACGATCATCTGGAGTTTGGCCTGCAGCACTTTACTTTACTTTACTTACTTGTTAGCTACAGCTGCTGAGTTGAACCTGTCGTCATGTGAACACAGTTCTGTGTTTGTTTCCATGCAGAAGTTGCAGACCACAATCTGAGAGTGTCCTACATGAAGGACCTGGTTCGATCGCTGCCTTTGCCAAATCATGACACCATGGAGCTGCTGTTCAAACACCTGCGCAAGTGAGTTCAGCCTGAAGCCGAACCAGGCAGAGAAGCAGGACTGGTTTCATTCTCATGTTTATAATAAATGTTTATCAAGCAGTTTCACGTCTGAGGCCTCACAGCACCTTCAGCTTTAAGTGTCTCAGTTTAATTTCACAAAAACTGTTAATCCAGGATCAGACGAGACACCATGTCACCCTGAAAAATGTCTGATCCAACAAATGTGGAATGTTTAGCACAAAGATGTATTCTTCTCTCTCGTGTTGTTTTAGACTCACATTAGCTGAAGAAATCATGTTTTTATTCAGTAAATCTCAAGTTTCTTTTTTTTATTCTCTCTTGAACTCATTTGTCCATGTTGCGTTTGGGTAATTTTTAAACAGATCCTTTTTGTATCTAACCAATGTTGATTTTAGTTTACTGATGACTGTCTTCATTTGTTCTATGTGTAGTTCACTAACTGCACAATTATTAGAGCCAGACATGAGAAACAAATGAGAGGAGGAAGATTTGTTTTATTAAGACTCAGCACCAGTGACACCCTTCCACCAGAGGCATCATGTTTTCAGTTTGTCCATCTCATTCTTATGAACATGATATCCCAAGAAAACCTTGAGGGAATTTCTTTAAATGTGGTCGAAATGTTCACTTGGACTCACAGATGAACTTCTTAGATTTCAGAGCTCAAAGGTCACAGTGACCATAATGAGTGTAAATGAAATATATGTGACTGAAACTGCTCTGATCAGTGAAGACAAACGATCATAAAGTGATAAATTGACTATTTTCACAGTGGTTTTGATTGAACAGATGTTTTACATGGTTGAAATATGGACGGTTTTCTAACACTTGTTCACGTCATCAATTTAAAATCTGTGAATCGTCAGTCCACTAACATTGTTCCACAATAACACTAAGGGTGTGATGTCATGGGCGTGATGTGATGATCTCAGAACTTACACTGAACCTCTCTCTCCAGGGTGACCGAGCACAAAGACTGCAACAGGATGTCGGTTCAAAGTGTTGCCATTGTGTTTGGACCCACGTTGCTCCGCCCTCAGACTGAGTCACCCAACATGACGATCCACATGGTTTTCCAGAGCCAGATTGTGGAGCTCATGCTCAATGAGTTCCAGTTCATCTTCTCCCAGACGTAGGAGGATCCTCCTGTTGAATTTCCAAGAACCATTAGATAACCTCTTGGGGGCGCCAGAGCACATTGAGAAATGCCAATAATCTTCTGAAGTGACAGAGAAGCTCCTTTTACTTTGTGCCTCAACACCTCCTGTCACATGGTGCCTTTCTAAGCAAAGTCAGACTCTTCTAGAAAACTCTGTGTACATAAACATCATCATCTTGCTCTATCAAGATCATGCTGCCACATTCTGACCCTCTCAAAGCTCTGTGACTTACATAATACAGGTACAACCTGATAAGACCCTGCATCAGTTTGGAACCAGCTTTGCTTCTCGTTCAAAGACCAAACGGCTAATTAAAAACTACAAATATCTCACTTTAAAACAAAAGATCCACATTTTTCTAGAACTTTGTAGAACTTGTAGAACACCCTCTCCTCTTTTTTTACAGAACCTGAAACATGGGACATGTTGCTTAACCACTGCACAGTAACAATTTCAGAGGAAACATCTAGAACCTTGTATTGTTGTGAAACCTTCATGAGAAGCGACAGATCAAACTGAACCATGGTTCTGTTCGTTTGCAGAGTGAAAACACTTTTTGGGATAATTTTGACTTTTGGACCAATCACAGGAAGTAGAGACAGCATTAAACAATAGAAGAAGAAAAAGATTAAGAAGCAGCTACAGTCTTCACCTCCGACAATATAATGTTTGAACCACAAGGACGTTTATTTGGTGGAGTACTGTAATACTGTAGTACTGTGGTTCAGTGGACTACTGTAGTACTGCGGCACTGTAGTACTATAGAGTACTGTGCCGGAAGGTGCTGATGCTGCTAGTAATACCATCACAATGCTACCATGGCAACTTAATGAAGCTTTATTCATTTTCTCCATTCAAACAGAAAGACTACTGCCCCCCCCACCTGACAACACACTCACGTCAGACTCGTCTTCAAACCAATCAGAGTCAAGTATAGGGAGATGACGCCCACGTAGGTGATGACGACAGGATGTGCATATGTCAGACAAAATTCTTTAGTCCCTAAATGAATGTGAAACTAAAACTAACAGATCAAATGAAACTATGAACAAATATGAAGCTTCAGAACTTGAGACACAAACTCTCATCCTCTGCCTTTAAAAAGTTCTGTTTACATGAACTTGGATGAACCCTGGACAGAGATTTGAAGAAAAAACTGTCAAACTGTCTCCTGGTTGTGTTTTGTCTCCATTGATTGAAATGTCTCATGAGCTTTAAACAAAGAAACATCTCTCTCAGATAAAGACCTGAATTTTCTCTCATTGTGCACATGAACAGGTGTTTTCATGTGTGATGCTATGTATCCATGGATACCATCAAACAGTTTCCCCCGGGAACATCTCATCAGCTGGACGTCAGAAGTCTTGTTTCTTCTCCATCTTTATTTTTAATCTGACATCTGATTTTTGGAAAATGTCATCACTGACAGGAGGTGGACTCTGGTCTGCCAGTTGCAATGACAATAGTTCAAAGTTAAACATTTTCCACAGTTTTGAAATGACATCCTGTGCATGATGAGTTTGATTTCAATTATTGTGATGATGAATTCATGAGGTGAAATAATCCAGAAGAATTTGTTTCCAGTTTATAATGTTCAGAAGAAAAGTGATTCTCATCTCCTAAAATGTTATTTCAGATGGAATAATTAACATATTATAAGACAACAAAAATTGAAATCATAAAAGTTCATCTTGTGCTGTCACCATGATTATAATGAAGTCTGGAACAATAATGAAATTACCAAAGCCCATGATGAGTATTTTTCCTTCACCTCACACTGTGACAAACATTACATTGATTCATTCTTAAGAATCTTCTATCCAAAGTGAAAAATCGGTTCTTTCAGTCAAAATATGGACAATATATGGAGTCTCAGTGAAATAACAACTCACGAGTTCTGGTAAAATAAATTAATATTTTTTACATAAAATTTTCATTGTTTTAAACACTGGATAAAAAATGTTACTCTAGATGTGACAGTGTGGTTTTTTTGAGAGTCCTCACATGACGAGATATTATGTTATCACGGTTTAACCTGAAAATGTACAAACTGCTTCCTGTCTTTGTGCTAAGCTAGGCTAAATGTACCCTGGATTTATCTGGACAAGACTGACACTGAAAAAAGTGACATCCATCGTCTCACCAGTGTGTTAAAGTGTTACTGTAAATCTAAATGAGGGCTTTTGGAAAGTTCTGAGGACCCAGGTTGTTTCCATGAGGGAATATACACAGAGCCACCGGGTTCTAATGAAACATTTAAGGATGAATGTGCTGTGACGACACATCTGCATAATGCTGTATGATAGTGTTGAGTTAATATGTATTAAAGATGCAGAACAAATGTTTGATTACGTCTGATGTAAATATTCATTCATCTCAATATTCAACTGCTGAAGATTAATTCATGTTCAATCTCCTTCTGTGTGGAAACTCTGTATAGAATAAAGTAGAATAGAATAGAACTTTATCAAATAATATAGAATAGCATAGAATAGAATTGAATAGACACGTATAGAATAGAACTTTATCGAACAATATAGAATAGTATAGAATAGAATTGAATAGACACATATAGAATAGAATAATATAGAATAGGATTGAATAGAATATAACTGTATAGAATAGAGTTGTATAGTACAGTAATGACATCAAATAGAAAATAATTTTATTGAATAGAATTATATTGAATAGAAGGAATGATGTTGCAGATCTCAAACAAAGGGTTCCATGTTGTTGTAGCACAGTCCGGGCAGCAGGTGGTGGTGTCAGCTGATGCCGTTCATCCTCCGTCCATCGGCGGCAGCACCGAGCGCAGGCCTGCCCTGCTGCCCGTTGTCATAGAGATGGTTTGTTATTTCTGACGCCCGAAGAGAGAAAACACATAAAGGGCGCGAGCAACTAAAGAAACCAGGTGAGAAAGCTAGAAACTACATATATATATATTTTAGATAGATAGATATTTCAACATAAATAAAAGGTATAGGAGATAAATAACAGCTATGGTAGATAAGGTGATTTAGGTGTGCTAAAAGTCAGTATCAGTGCATAATTATTACAGTTTGGGCAAAAACTCAACAAGGTGCATAATGTTCACTGTGTGCAAATTGTTCAATGTGCAAAAAGTTGCATTAAGTCCTGTTGGTTATGTGTGGAGGGTGGGAGGGGGAGGGGCATGGGCAGTGGCTTGGAGATGTCAGTCAGTCTTGTGGGCAGAATCTGTCCTCGAGCCTTGAGGTCCTGCAGTTCACACTCCGATACTGCAGAAGGAGTCCTGGTGGCAACTTGAATTTCCTGAGCCTCCTCAGGAAGTACAGCCTCCGCTAACCCTAACCCTCTGCACTCTGGTTGAATGTGAAATCCCAGTGCACTTGTATTTTGTATTTGGTATTTGGTCTAGTATCGTATCCCCTACAAATTCAGGGACAGACCTCTCCTCCTTTTCTTCTGGTACTGCATAAATAATGAGATTATTTCTACAATTATTCCTTATTATGCTTGCATCTTTCATCTTGAAGCAGGCTGATTCCAGGTCTGCTCTCCAGGATTGTGCATCTGTTCCTCACATTTTGGCCCTGCAGCTCTTGCTAAACTTTGTTTTTAAACCTACAAGATCTTCTTATATAGTTTTCTTTTCTTATAGCAATGTGTTTAGTTTAGCCTTGTTAACTTCTCCAGTTGTGGTTTGCTTGTCGACAACATTTTTCTTGTGTTTAGCGATCTCGGGCCCATCCCAGTTTTGTTTTATTCATTTTCTTGTCAATCTCCTTTGCGTCCTCTCTCCATTCATACTTACGTTAGATTAAGTTGGATGTTATTTTAATATTTATAGGAGGTACTTTCCAAACTGACTTTGAGGAGCTCACCACTACTCGTCCATCTTGTTATAATGCCACCCAGAACTCCTAAGAAGTTTCCTCTGCTTTCTACTTTATTTCTAAAACAGCACATGTCTGTAATGTTGTCCAGAAACAAAAACAGAACCTGTCCGATTCAGGTCGGGCTTGGTTAGTTTTCTTTTGGGCTCGGAACCGAACCGCCCAAGCAATGCTCAAATATGTGTGTGTGTGTATGTATGGATGGATGTCCTCTTCTTTGTTCAAATTATTGTCGGGTGGCAACAGACATCAAGCTGCATTACCGCCATTTACTGTGTTCTTCTTCTTCTGTCATCTGTATGTATATACAGATGACAGAATTTATGCACCTTACATGTGAAACTGTCCCATTAAATGCAAACAGGTTTATCTAAAGCTGTTTTCCTGTGTGACATCATCAGATGATGGCCATGTCAGAGCGTGATGTCATCGACTTCTCTGCACTGGAGCAAGAGCTGCAAGCGGTGGTGGAGTCTGAGCGGAGATACCAACGAGAGAACGAAGCTAAACTGAGGGCCGTCAGCCAGAGAGTTGCCTCCTACCAGGAGTTCAGGTAAATGCAGGGGCTGGGAAACTACTGCACCTTTTTAAAGTACTCCTGGAATATTCTGATTAATTGGACCCCAATCCTGGATCATCTTTAGAAAACTCAGATTTAAATATTATCCTAGAAATTCCCTTAAAAGAATAGTTCACAGACAAATTTAAATTTCACCACTATGTCATATTCAACTTAAAATGGTGTGAGTTTCGAGTTTTGGTGAACTATCCCTTTAAGGATCTTTGAAATGTCATGAAGTTAAGGTCATTACGATAACTTCCAGGGTGTGTTACAAGTTTCCTGGTGCTCCTTCAGAAAATTCTTCAGGTCCTTGAGTTCTGGAGGTTTTTTGCAAGGGTCCTTGGGTACTTGTTGAAATGTCTTTGATGCAGTCCCAGGATGTTTGAAACCCTGTTTTTGTTTCTGTCAGAGACCTGGTCCTGACCTGTCACCTGAAACCTCTGGAGAAGAAAGACAAACACGGAGCTCCACGGAAACAGCCCTGGAACCCTGTTGCCCCGAGCAACAACTGATGTCGCCATAGAAATGAGGAACACATAAACCAGCTTGAATTTTTCTTTTTTACCGTATCCTTGTTTTTTTTAGTTGTTTCCATGGTGCAGGTGCAGATGGTTCATTGTTGCAATTCAACCCTCAGCATTTGTGGAGATACTAAGTTTTCATTGAACAGGAAGTGCTGTGAGACTTGAGATGACGTCACACATAAAAAGTGGAACACGTGTGAAATGGAAATGTGACTTGAATAAAAATATAAAACCAGTGAGACATTTGTTTAAATCCACTGAAGAATCTCAAACAAGGAGGAACCTGCTGTGACTGTTTTTTCAAAAATAAAAGTTCATGTTTTGGAGAGGCAGTTTTTTACTTGACAACAGTCACATCAACACGATGCTAAATATAATATTGGTGTAGAATAAAACCAGACTTACTCCACATTATTCACAACTTGTATGAATTTCATGCACCCACACACACTTTCTCTTTCCGTTCTGGTCAGTAAGAGCTTGTACCAGCTTGTTCTGTTTTACCCGTTGTCGGGCTGGGAGTTTGTCTGTTTTGTTTGCACATGATTATTGTGTTCATCACACACTGTGTGAAGGTAGGTGGATGTATCCTTCAGATGTTGAAGTGCTCTGCACAACCAGAGCGTCATCACTGTTGTTTTCACTGTTGATTGATGGTTGCCAGGGCCCCTGGTTTTATCATAAGTAGCATAATTGGCATGTTTTATTTACTGTTGAATTCTTGCTTGTGTGTTTATCTTATTTGACCCTCCAGATTGTTGAGTGGGAGACACATTGTGTTTTACCCATAAGTTTTACCTGGCTGCAACTCAGCACCACCTTTCGGGGTTGGCCCAGCAGGCAGATGCCTCCACACCCTGACGCTGTGTCCCAGCTCTGGCTGTGGCTTTTCTAGACAGGTTGATGTTTATGATGAGGAAGATGACTTTAATGCTCACTTCCATGTGCCGACTATCCTGAGTCCAGGGATTTTCTGTTGAGACCCTGGAGGAGCTGCCGAGTTTCCTTCCCCACCCTGTCCACCGCACACAGTACATCCATCAGCCTGTGCAGACGAGACCTGTGCTTTGGGGTGTATGGTGGGGCATGGTAGTCTGAGTGGTGCAGAGCTCCTCCTGGAGGGTGTCCAGCATTTTCATCTCTCTGCACCTTACAATATTTGCTCTACTTTTTTATTTTATATATTCTATTTCATTTTTTATATTCTATTTTTATTCTTAACCCTTTTTCCTTGTGTAATTTCTGAGCATGGCTAAAGGGGAGCCTGGGACTCAAGCATTTCATTGCCAGCAACAGCTAAATGTAATTGTTGTGCATATGACAATGATAAACCGTTGAATCTTTAATCTTATTATTAGTAGTTTTTTATGCATTCTGGTAAATACTTCGTTCTTCTAAACTCTTAATTTGTCGAATGCGCAACAGGAAGTGGTTTGTGCTGAGCATGTTCTGTGAGGTGGAACCACAGGGAGGAGGTCTCACTCGGAGCTGTATGAAGGAGATCGTCAAACTCTGTGTGGGAGTCCAACAGCACATGTTTGAAGTTTGAAGTTTGGGTCAGAGTAAGACTTCTGTCGTTTCGTGTTGGTCTTTGAAACCGTCGCAGTGGAGTTGTTGAGAGGAGTGAATCATCTTTGTGAGTAGAGACGATCTTTGTCTGCAGGTTGAAAAGTTTGAGCAGAGTCAGAATCAGTCAGAGGATCAACTGGTGAGTGTGTGTGTGCGTGCGTGTGTCAGTTTCCGTGTGTCAGTTTCCGCGTGTCTGTGTG